TCTCAAAGTTAAAGCAGCATGCTGTGGGTTCTAGTGGAAGAAAACCAAAAACACAAGAGAAGAAGTGTAACAAACTGACTACACATTATGTTTGTCTGCATTAATATAACTATCCTACAGTAGGAGCTGACCATTACTTACTTTTCAAGGCCAGGGAGTCTTATTATGTTCAATTTGTGTGGTCTCAGCTTCTGTTTAATGAAAGCCATCTTCACAATAGCGCATGCACTGTGTGTTTTTATTAGAAAAGTGGTCCTGGATGTTATCAGAGTGTCTGCGTATCAGATTTAGAGTCGGATTTATCAGCTGAAACACAGTATTTGAAAAACAAGCACGCCTCGGCTGTATTCTGCGCTATAATAACACCGGTGTTTATCTACTTCCATAGCTCCTGTTGTACATTGATTATCAGATGATGGACATGATGCCTTTTGTCACGGGATGTGTCAGCTTTTAGCCTCGGTGTTTTCGCACGATGCTGTGAATTATCACTTCGGACCGTGGGAGGAAGCCGGAGGAAGCCGACCAACAGATTCAAACACAAGCTTCTAGTTGTGTAGGAGTCGAGTTTTTAAATAAGGAGACCAATAATAGAAATGCTTTATTGATCCCCCAAGGAAATTCTGTAGAAACTAACATTGTCAGAAGTAGGATATACCTTTGTGGCATAAGTGAAAATCTTTGTATTAAAATTCAAACAAGACAAGGCTTTGAAGAGCATTTTTTGATGTTTATCCATCAGTGTTGTTAACGGAGTGGTCCATCCAAGCCGAAGTAAAAATGTAATTTATTGTTTTTATTAGGAGCAATCCTTCCTGTATACCACTGTGCCACCTTTCACGTACCAATAAAATTTATCCTAAACTACTATAGGCCTATAAACTACATAGAATCTGAAGTTGTCCGAACCGGTAAAGATTTGAGCCCACCTGCATTAAACCTGCCATATGTTTCCCACTAAGTGAGCCATTAGTCCACTGTAGGGTCGCCGTGGATCTCGTTTGCATATAAACATTTTTGCAAATTTGCCAAAGGTTAACTCAAACTGTCTTCCAGAATCTATGAATCCACAACGAGCATGAACAGTTTCCCACTGACTTGCGACCATTAGGTTACTGGAAGTTTAGCATTCCCAACAGGTGAACATGTTTTCCAGTTGTGGTCTCATTATTGCCGGAATCTTGTCGGACCTTTCATGGCAAACACTGGCCAACTTGGAGCAACATTCATTCATTCATTTATTTTTATTGTTTAAAAATGTAATTACTTCGTTGCATGTCAACCACAAGTTTGCGGCAAACATTTTTTATTTTTTTTAGAAAAGCTACAAAAAAAGATGCTAACCTTAGCTCGGACAGCTTACTAGCTGCAGTGGATAAGATCAAGGCTGTTGGTTATGATCCTTCCTTTGTCTTGAAATCCAAAAACCTTTTTTTTTTTTTTTTTAAATGTGCTATGACTTTTTAGTGTTAAACCTGCCACTGTTGTCTTTGTAGAGGGTTCATGTGGCAAATGCACTGTAAAAATGTCAAATTTCAGGCTAGTTTAAGGCCAAAATAAGAATATTTGGCTGCCAGTGCAGTGTTACATTTTTACTCGATAAGATTTGTTAAAATACGTGAGGCTTATCTTAAGTGTGGCTGTTATTATTACATATGAATTTTAAGCAATTTAGCTAAGCCTAGTGAATGAAGCCTATAAGCAGACATGTTGCTGGTATCTAGCTATTAAATGATGACTCAAAAAAGGGCAAAGTTGCTTTTCAAGATGAGACAAGTGACATTTTTTCGAATTAGGCTTAAAAATCTGCCTTCCAAAGCACTAAATAATCAATTTATGCAAAAAAAAAGAAAAAACAACCAAACCACTTAGATTTAGCATCTCAATATAATGTTATTATATTTGGTTGTATCTGCAGTTTTTGCAGCGGGTGAACAGCGAGCTCGTCAGGCAAAACAACAGTAACTAAACGAGGCAGAGCTTAGCGAGCAGTCAATTCCATTTTATTTACCGTTTTCATTACGATTATTTTCTCCGTTACTTTGTCATCATCGGGGGTTCTTATAAGTAATCAAGCTCGGTTTCAATGAGGGGATTCAATGAGGAATAAAATGAAAACGCGAGGCAGCCTCACCACCACCACCTCAACACAAAGATAAGCATTCTTGGCAGCAGGCTAGAATTCACTGACACACGCATACACTCCCGCATCTGCATCTCAATCCGGCTTGATTTGCGCTCCAGAGATGATACCGCACCGGGTCTCGCAGCACAGCTCACCCCTGCTGCCCCTAATTATTACCTAGCGGGCTGAAGGCTGACATGGCTATCACATGAAGCAATGAGGAAAACTGGAATTCTAAATTGCTCTGAAACAGGCCGAATCCTATGCAGGGATACAGGTCCCCAGATTCCACTGTTGCTTCAGAGGTCAGATGTGGTGTTTTAATTAAAGAAAATAGGCAGTGAATAACATAGCCACAGCTGTGTAAATTCCTCACCAGACACCTCCACAGCGGACGTTTGATTTAGACCTAATTAGTATTCCTTTAAGGAGGGCCTCGCTGCCCTCTTGTCATTAAAATGGATTTAACGGAGACCCCTTTTGGAGGATGCGCCGGAGGTTGACAAGTAATTTCTTGCGCGTCAGTCATCATTGTGTCAACAAGAATAACACCTCAAGTGTTCTGTATTTGCAAAAGGCAAACCTCGGCCTTCTGTCCAGGAGGTATTCGGAGCACCAAACCTGTTAACGTCCGGGTTTCTTTTGTAAATTGAGTCGTCTGTTCTTCATAAGCAGCCGAACCGGGGCTGAGTTAAGGTTTTTTACACGGGGAGCTCAGCGGCGGCGAGGCATTGTGCATTGTGTCAGGGGAGTGTTGTGTGTTTTTTCCCAGTGTGCCGCAAAGGGCCGCTCCGTGTCAGAGGTGAGCGACGTGAATGGAGGCCGTGGGACCCCCTCCACAGCTGGGAGGAGACTCCCCCCATTCAGAGCACTGAGGCAGAATGCTGCGGGGCTCAACAAGAAGGGGGCTAAAGGCTTTGTCTCTGGTTCACTGCCTTCTAGTAGCCCCGGGATTCCTGGCAACCAGGTTTGACTGTCGGGAGCCTACACGCAGAGAGAAGAAAGCACAAAGGCGCTTGTATTCCTCAGCAACATCACGGCTCACTATGGGAAACAAAGATGACTGTGGATGTGAGATCCTGTGACTCTTATTTTAAATGCCAGAAATTTAGATGTTGAGCAAAGGAGTTGTGGTCCTAAATCTGTAGCTTGGTTGTTTTTTTTTTCTCCTTACATTAGTATTCTGGGATATGATAACTGGCTTTTCTCAGTGTCAAATTATTCCGAGCAAACTGCACATAGATGAGCTTTTAATTTTTTTTTTTTGCCAAGTTCTGATGTCGAAAAAGTAGAAGTTTAAGTCCAGCGAGATGATCCAATTATCCTGCAGACCCAGGATTAGCATTAATCTGCTCTGGTTATTAGCGGGCACATAGCCTCTTCTGACTTTCCTCCATTAAGTTTCCTCCCTATTCGTCCTTCCGCTAAAGCACACGCAAGCTCGCCGCCTTTGGTTTCTACATTTATACAGGAAATGTGCTCAGTTTTCACATTGCGCGGGTCAAAGTCAGGTTTTGTGTATATATACTGCCATCATTCCCTGGAGGTATTTTAATATTGCTGCTACTTCTGATGTGCAGGACCACAGTTAAGTCTGCAAACTACGCCATGAATTCGAATGAGACAGCCATAGCCGGAGGCAGGGCGCAGCAACCAGCCACGTGTTTATCAGAAAATTAATCCGCAAAAACGGACTTGCATGTGTGTTAGATGTCAGGGGAGGAGTGAGAAGGGATGGTAAAGATTCATGACACGCCTAATGACCTGCAACAAACTACATGCTCCTGCTGGAAAGTAGCTCCATTCTACGAAAGGATGCGGGCATGAGTGTGTGTGTGGGTGGGTGTGTGCGTCTAGCAGTGGAGAGGCAGGAGGAGGAAGCCTGTGAAATGAGAAGAGCCCCAGGCTGAGATCCTATCAAAGCTCTCAACACATCCAGGAATCACAAACCAACAAATTCCGTATGATGTGGAGATCGAAAGCGGAACAGCAGCTCTGTGTAAACCCAGATAAAGCTGAGGGCCACTGTGGGTGACCCAGGATGCAGTATGCGTGCTGTTAATAAAGTTCAGAAGGTTGCTGCTTGTTTTTTGGTCCTTTGCTTCCTCTCTGTAGTTTTTTCCCACCACAAGAGTTTCTTTGATGAACTTCTGGTGACTTGACGGTATTCAGGCTGGAGTGAAAAAAAATCTGAATTTTAACTCTGCCTTGACATTTCGAACAGCGTAGATCTCGTGTGCAGAACTTAAGTCGTCTTTATTTAATTTTAAGTCTCGCTGGATCCGGTGACACGGTCCTCTGAGAACAGGGACTCGAGATGGTCTGAGCTCATCCTTCATCAGCACACAGAGGCTTTAAGTGGCTCAACCACACTTAATTAGCCTCTTCTCCGCGACATGCCGCGGCCTTTTGCTCGAATTAATCTTCTCAGGTTAACACTCGGCACCCGCTCCACTGTCTCTGACGGGAGGTCGTATTCATCCTCTGCTGAGAAATTACTTAGCTAAATGAGGGCTCCTCCATGCAGCCACAGCTAACGACCTTGATTAATTAAAGAGAGACTCTTCCTAATTAAGGTCTTATTCTACTTGGTCCAACTATGACCCTGTAAAACAAGCCGAGGCAGTAATGAGTCATTTCTCAAGCAGAACATCACTCCTGAATTTGTGTTGGCTCAGTGCTTCGTATGAGGGCGTAATCATCAGAGATAATGATTGCATCAGTTTGGCATAATGAATATCCTCTTCACAGGAAGGAGATTTAAACACCAAGTAGAAGGGGAAAAAAAATCTTTCATCATCTGCATCGTTGACAGGATTTTCTTCAAAAGACAGAGGATGCTGATGGGTTTTGTATCTGCTTCTTCTTCTTCCAGGTCAATGGCAAGGACCTCTCCAAGGCCACCCACGACCAGGCGGTGGAGGCGTTCCGCACCGCCAAGGAGCCCATCATGGTCCAGGTTCTGCGCCGGGCCCCTTACCCCAAGCTGGTCGGCCCCGCCGCCGACACCCAGCTCTCGGACATCAGCACCCAGACCGACATCACCCTCCAGCACATCATGGCCCTTACCAAGCTGCCTCCCTCCTCGCCCCCCATGACGGAGCTGGATGACTACCTGCTTCCAGAGGAGTAAGTACCAACTGGGTTCATGAAGAACTAGATGGCTGCTAGATTCAGATACATGTATGTGTTCGTATCTGTTGTACCTCCTCCAGTAGGTGGCACAGGAGATGAATCAGTAGCCTCACAGTCTTTAATGTCCCAAAGGGAAATTATTATTATGAAGTGATAAATCCTCCCTTCATCATGGGGACAAGTGTTTCTGTTATTTAGCCTCGCTTTAAAATATTACAACTGCCAAACTGCTACACAAACTACAGCCCACAAAATGGCCATAAAGTTGAAGCAACGCCTCTCTAAAACAGTTTCAACAGAAGCTGAACACTATAACCTTCAAGCACGCAGGATTTATTGCAGAGCTGTTTTATTCAACTGCATTAACTTTAGCTGGGAGTACCTAAAAATACACTGCATCTACCCACATATTGTTATGCAGAGAATATAGTCAAAACTGCTTCCAAAGCATCTTCAACTGTCAGGCATCTATCACGACACCATTTAGTTACGGACCGATCACTACCCCTCACATTCAAAAACTGAACCTGGCTCAACTTTTTCCGCAATGCAATTTCTTTGCAATGTTTACCGTGCACTTGTCACAAAGACAGATAGAACTGGCGTCGCTCTAATAACTTTCCAGTCTGTTTTGCAAAGCACTGAGCAGTCTTTTGGTGTCTCATAAGCCTTCAAACAAAACCAGATTTCCTGGAACATGTTTGGTCGTCTTAAAGGTTTCTGAAGCAACGTGTCCCCACCAGCGCGGACCCCTTTCATTGTCTTCCCCCCTGAACAAAGCTGAACCAAATGCTTTTGAAATGGATTTGGAGCCCCAAAAATCCAGCCTCATCTGGCAGCAGCTGAGTATGCTGACACTAAGCTGCAAATGGCCTGGCTTTACTGGCAACCTGCTTGGTGGAAAATTATTTTTTACAACAAAGTTTTACATGCTACTAGGGTTAAAAAAAAAAGAAAAAAAAATCAAACAGGGGCTGAAACTTTTTAATTGCAGTATCGCTATGGTAACAAAAAGGATGATTAATTCCAGAAAGTCCACTTTTTAAAAAGAGAAGACGCCTGAAATCTTTAGTGTCACAACTTAGAAATGTTAAAAAGGTCACGTCAGTCCCAGACACGATCCGACCTTTCACCTGAATAGTTAATTAACAGAGCCGAGGCTTATCTTGTTCGCCAGACTGTACCGCTGTGATCACACCGGTTGAGTGTGAAGTTTGATGGGGAAAGTGTCCCTGTCACTTGTGGGAGATGACGGCTCCTCCAGGGCACACAGCCACATTAAAATGATGGGTCCGCTCATCCGTATTTGCATATTCCCAAATTGCATCTCTTGTTTTTGCATGTGTGTGTGTTTTAGACCCTGGAGCTTGCAGAGTCTGGCTACATTTTACACTCCATGGCAGCAGCAGTTGCCCTTTAATGAATAAGAGTGATTTCTTTAATTGATTTCCGAGTCAAATTAATAACACAGCATGTTAATTCGCGATTAGCCTCCGAGTGTAGCTTCGATATATCTGATTCAAGAGTGATTTCTTCATTGAGTACATCCGCTCTGCTTCTCGTTTTATTTCCAAACTCTGGGGGAAATTAAATCCAGATTGATGAATGTGTTAGTACATTTTGTCTCCATTTTTTGTTTTTTTTTTAATGTGTGTGTGTTCAATTTGCATTCCACTCATTTCCAATTTATCTTACCCTCTTCTTCTTCTCTCAGGCATGCTCCGGGACATGCGTACTTCGACCCCAACGACTTCCTTGAGGGCATACAGCAGGACATCGAGCGCGAGGAGCTGGAGTATGAGGTAAAACATCCTCTCCGGTTTTACTTACCTGCTGTCTTCTCAATGAAGATATACCTTCAGACAGAAGTGCGTCATTGCTCCATAAGCAAACCAGCGGTCGCCTCAGTGTCTCCAGCCCAATGGCCTTTCTTAGTGGCCGCAAGTCCTGATGCATCATGGTTATTGATGGAGCGCTCGCCCCGCATACAGACACCGAGATGTAAGCCAGACAGGAATCGAGTTGCTGGTTTGTTCCAGCAGATGCACAACGGTGACATCATTACTTATTAGTGACAGGGCCTAATAAGTCTTCCTCTGCTCCTACGCAGTGGAGATGAGGCCCGGTGGATAATTAGATGGCACAGATAATAGGGCTGCAGTGATGAATCTGATGATGCTAACAATGGCTGGATGAGGCCACGATCAAACCTCTGTCATGCACCTTCGATGACCTTCACCCCCCCTGTCCCATTAAACCTCACCCACCTACTGTCTGATATTAATAATATTCATGGAGGAACTATGAGGATGTGCAGCAGACAAACACTGACTGACCCCGGTGTCCTTGAGGAGTGACTCTCCATCTTCGAAAGAAATGGCTGACAAATGATCTCTGTTCAGGTCCCGATCAGTTTTGTTTTAAATAAATTAGAGCTAATAAGACGACTGGTAGCGAACTTGAGCAAGTTGGTTATATTGAAAATCTCTTAGACTCTCTGCGCTAGTGTCTTTTTTCCCAGTGAAGAAAGCGTTGGGCGCCAAACAGAGCCTCTTTTTAAGTGCATTGTGGCTTGTTCGTGTGGCTGCTCTGAACATTTCCCAGTGAAATTTTCATCATTGCGGCTCCTCTGCAGGCAACCAATAATATGGCCTCATCGCCCCGATAACCAAGAAAATGGAAGGGAAGCTTGCTCAGGCCGTGACTGTCTAACACAAGCTGTATGATATGTCACACAGAAGTCATGACAACCAGGGGCGAGGCCACTCTATCATGCAACAGCGGTTAGAGTGGTGATGTGCTGTCAAGATAACGTTGTCATAGAAACACATGCAGCACGGTTGATGATGCGCTCCCCAACATCCAGGCAACTTTTCTGCTGAAGGAAAAAATGCTATATGGACAGACACATTTAGCTTTCTTGTCTGATTCTGTTGAATATTTTGGTTTGAAGCAAGTTAAGAGGGTTAGGATTAGGGTTATTTTCTTGTTATAGCAATAAGGTTTCCAGGCATCCAGCAGAGACTTCAGCAGCCAGTTGCATTAACTGTAATTGTAACAAGTGTTGTAAAAGTAGAGATTTTTGCATGTCTACCAAAAATGATGTCCCCCATTGGTTTGTTGACCACTGTTTTGAAGCCTTGGGTTTGGAATTTGGCCATCGGCAACTTGCTCTTTTTAATTCGGAAGCCCCGCCCTAAAACATACACTGCTTTATTGTTCATTTTACCGGTAATGGGACCATGCTCTATTCAAAAAGTTCTGGAACTAGTAAATGAGACCCTACACTTAGTAGTAAAACACTTACTCTGGTGAAAAGAGAAAGAAAAACGTAATTTTCTCATAGAATTCTGTACAACTTATTTTTGCAAAAAGAGGTGTCGTCTCAAGAGAGAATGTAGGTTTAAGGCAGTTTTGCATTGGTATATCCACTGTTTTCAACCTGAACAGTGTGAACACTAAAAACTGAGTTATTTTTGGAAGTTTTGATACAGCATGTGATGCTACAATAAAACTACAACTGTTTCCCCACAACTGATTTACACATTAAGTCGTAATGTTAGCAAGCAACATAAACCAAAAGAAGTGATATAAAATAGGGACAAAGTAAAGCCAACACAGAAGTGCCTTAAACCTGCATTCTTTCTAAAAAAAAAAAATAGGGGGTGACTCCCTGGGTTGCAAGAAGAAGTCTGTCTACATAGAAGTCTGTGAGAAAACTACTGTACTTCTCACTTGATTTGCTTCCTCAGTAAACACTTTCCAAATAAGTTTATGGTCTTAATCACTAGTTTCAAGCCCATTTGAATACAGCATGAGGTTTATTTTGTAAATTGCGCTTTAATTGTACTATTAACTTTGGACAGAGCCAGACTAGCGGTTCACCCCCTGCTTATCCTGCTTTGCGCTGTGCTAACTAGCTGCTGACTGTGGCTTATAATTTACAGAACAGACATACAAATGGTATCAATCATTTCATCTAAGTTTTGGCAAAAGATTAGCATATTTTCCAGAATGTCTTGATTTAAGATAGTCTTTAATATTCAGCTGCGACCCAGTTTTTGGGTTGCTTTCCCCTCGCAGAGCCCGTCCTCTGCCCTTAAAGGCCAGCGCTGCTCATATCTTTATCTGTATCTATAAGATTACAGGTGTTGACAAGTGAAAAACGGCGCTCTGCCCGTCTGCAGTCCACGGCATCATCTCTCATTCTGTCAATGGGTCCCAACTAAAGCCAATGGGCTGCCTGCATCCATCTGAAAGATTCATTACCGTGATTGATGGATCACTGTTGCCCTGTGATCCTATTTCGTAGTCAATGCATTCTGTTTGTCCAGAAACACATACTGTATATACAAATACACAGCCGTTTTCCACTCAGATGTAGAAATATAAGTCACTTCAGGTATATGAGGTGTGAATTTGTCTCTTACCAGGAGGTGGATTTGTACCGAGCCAACATCCAAGACAAGCTCGGCCTGACGATCTGTTACAGGACTGACGATGAGGACGAGGCTGGAATCTACATCAGTGAGGTATGTGTTGCAGGGTGGTGTCCTCATCTACTTAAAGAGAGTAACAACTGCTTGGCCTGTCACCAGTGATGATGTTCCTTTTGACTCACAAATGGGACACTTTCTCACTCTAGATTGATCCAAACAGCATCGCTGCAAAGGACGGCAGAATTAGAGAAGGGGACAAAATTATACAGGTAAGATCTTCTTATATTTCTCTTCAGTTCTGATCTCTTGAAGTCATTTGATAACATATTAAATTACTATTATTACAAGTGAAGCATTGTAGCATTTGATTGCTTCAAGCTGTAGCTGTTGATTTGTGTAAATATACATGTATAATAGTTCTCCGTGCGTCCCTCCAGATCAATGGCATTGAGATCCAAAATCGAGAGGACGCCGTAGCCCTGCTGACCAGCGAGAGCAACCAGAATATCTCTCTGTTGGTGGCCAGACCAGAGATCCAGGTAATTAGGATGTCATTACGGGTGTGAACTCAGTAAAGGTTAATGACAACAAGACATTTCAACCTCATATGGTCACTTTTGGAACCAAACACGGTGTCCTTCAGGGTGAGCTCAGTTATCAAGCCAGTAAACAACAAGATTCAATAGCAGATGGTCCTTGTGTTTTTGTTTGGGTGGCGGGGAGGAGGTTGAGAAAAACTTTGCAGTTGAGTATTTGCATCTAATGAGGCGTCTCTTCTCTCCGCTGCGTCTCAGCTGGACGAGGGCTGGATGGATGATGACAGGAACGACTTCCTGGATGACCTCCACATGGATATGCTCGAGCAGCAGCACCATCAGGCCATGCAGTTCACTGCCAGCATGCTGCAGCAGGTACACAGACTCTCGCAGACACACAATCAATCACCACATATGTTCATCTATAGATTGTTTTGGCCGGGGCAGTTCCGCCGAGGGTGACAGCTGGTTAACCGTCTTCAGCAGATTTTTTCTCTTAACAGAAACTGACTTTCATAATGAGAAGGTCAAGCTCATTGACAAGGCCTTTGTGATAAGTCCAGTTTCAATTAAAAGCTTTTCTGAATAGCTGTGAATGAAGTAGATGTATTATTAATTGTTGATAATCTGCATCGTCAAACTGTTTCTTTGCTTCCAAATGTTTAATGTTTTGTAATAATCTCCATAATCCCTATTTAAAAAAAGACTGAACCCTAACTAAAGGCATCACATTAACATTTTGGTAGATATTGTTGTTTCATTCTGGATTTTTAATACAGATTGTTTACATAGTCAGTAACTGCATTCTGCACACATTCACAGAATTGCGAGGAATCCAACTGCTCCTATATTTATCATATAACAAATGAAAAGAAGCACAAAGTAGTAAAGTTGACTGTAATATTTTAGTGCCTTTTCCTTTACCTTGGAGTCACTCTGCTGTCTTTTCTTGCAGAAGAAGCATGAGGAGGACGGCGGCACCACCGACACCGCCACGCTGCTCTCCAACCACCACGAGAAGGACAGCGGTGTCGGTCGCACGGACGAGAGCACGCGAAACGACGAGAGCTCGGAGCAGGAGAACCTCGGCGACGACCAGACCACGGCCTCCAACACGCTGGGCAGCTGCAGGAAGCTGACCTACAGCCAGGACACCCTCGGCAGCACCGACCTGCCCTTCAGCAGCGAGTCATTCATCTCCGCCGACTACGCCGACACCGACTTTCTGGGCATCCCGGCCGACGAGTGCGAGCGCTTCAGAGAACTCCTGGAGCTGAAGTGTCAGATGAGGAGCAGCGGCGCCCAGGGTCTGTGCTGCCAGGTTGGCGGGGCGGGAGGTCAGGACCAGGAGGGTGTGGACAAGGAGCTGGAGCTGCTCAACGAGGAGCTGCGCACCATCGAGCTGGAGTGCCTGAACATCGTCCGCGCCCACAAGATGCAGCAGCTGAGGGAGCAGTGCCGCGAGTCCTGGATGCTCCACAACAGCGGGTTCCGCAACTACAATACTAGCATAGACGCTCGGCGCCACGAGCTGTCAGACATCACAGAGCTGCCAGAGAAATCTGACAAGGACAGCTCCAGTGCGTACAACACTGGTGAGAGCTGCCGCAGCACCCCTCTGACTCTGGAACTGTCTCCAGATAACTCACTCCGCCGAGGAGCAGAGAACCAGGGTCCAGCTGGAACATCCGGATCCACCAGCTCCAACGGCAGGATGCTCAAGCCCCTTCTGTCCCCTGTACAGGAAGCCTGTGGCCCCAGCCGGAGCAGAGGTTCCTCCAAGGACCCAGATGGAGCACTGCAGGCGGAGAGCAAGGAGAGGAAGCTGGGAGAGTCCAGTAAGAATGGCCGTGGCTTTTCCCATTCCCCTTACAAGCACGCTCACATCCCCGCTCACGCCCAGCACTACCAGAGCTACATGCAGCTGATCCAGCAGAAATCCGCTGTAGAGTACGCCCAGAGCCAAATGAGTCTGGTCAGCATGTGCCGGGACCCCATTAGCCCTAGCGATCTGGAGCCCAAGATGGAGTGGAAGGTGAAGATCCGCAGCGATGGCACGCGTTACATTACAAAGCGACCCGTTCGGGACAAGCTGCTGAGGGAGCGCGCCCTTCGAATTCACGAGGAGCGCAGCGGCATGACCACAGACGACGACGCCATAAGCGAGCTGAAGATGGGCCGCTACTGGAGCAAAGAAGAGAGGAAGCAGCACGCAGTTCGCGCCAAGGAGCAGAGGCAGCGCCGCGAGTTCATGAAGCAGAGCCGAGCCGATTGTCTGAAGGATCTGTCCGGCCCAGAAGACAAAAAGGAGCCCAACATCATCGAACTCAGCCACAAAAAGATGATGAAAAAGAGGAATAAGAAAATATTTGACAACTGGATGACCATCCAGGAACTGCTGACCCACGGTACCAAGTCACCAGACGGCACAAGAGTTTACAACTCACTCCTGTCTGTGACCACAGTTTAAGTCCTGCTCTGAGTTCAGGTGGCAGGTCGGTCAGAGGAGGACGAACTGAACTGTAATGGACTGTACATAGGACGCTACCAGAAGGGGTAGAGATTCCTGCCTCGTTCAATGTGGCAACATTGTGTAAATAGGAAATAAGGAAAGCCTTTTCTGGACGAACATTTAAATGGTGGTTGGACATGACGTGAATCGGACATGGCTACTGAAGGAGGATGATTTTGAAAACAATTTTCAATAACCTTTTCTACCCTTGTGCTTGCTCTTTTGGATATTTTTGTGGAAACAAAAACACAATATTTGACTTTTTTGGAAGGTTTTGAAAGTGTGTAAAGACCGTGTGCCATACATAAACAACCAGCATTTACACTATTTTACTTTATCTTGTTTGTACTATATATCTTATCAGTATTTTACTGTTACACATACTTAATGCTTTTATGGAAATAATGCTATTTTCCTGCAAGGTAGAACATGTACTCCTTTTCAAAAGGACTTTTTGTAAATTAAGAAAATACAATTTTTGTATCAAATTCCCTTTTTTTAGTTTGAATTTCTCTCAAAAGGTGCTGATTTCCCAAAGTTAAACACTACCAGCGATGTACCATCTGTTACATAATGTAGAGAACATCATAACATGATGCCATTGTGTATGTACGTATATCTAGAGAGAGTCGCTTCTCACTTTGTTGAAATTGAAATGTCTGTGTTTGTTCAAGCACACATTGTAGTCGCTTTTGTAGGGTTTCATGTATTGAGCAGAATAACAGCGTAACAAATCCTTAGTTAGCCACACAATTTGATGTCCTGTAAAATGAGAGAAATAATAAATTATTGTTTTATATATGATGAGCTTTGAAATGTTGTTGGAATTTGTCTTTTATAAAAAGATGCTGCTAAGAATATAATCACACGAGCTAAAGAATACAAAACATACAATTCAGTGGTTGGCATGATCTTCGCTTGTTGGGTAAATGAGACGTCAGCAAGGGTTTTAATGTTTTTGTTGCTTTCCTGCAATTACATAATTAATGTGACCGATAAAGGTGCAGCTTCTCCCTTCCCACTAGGTGCAAAAAGGAGGGCCATTAGAGATGCCAATCACAGGCTTTACACTTCACACAGTATTCCAAAAAAAAGATCTACTCAGGTAAAATAAGTGGAAGCACCTGTGTGGGTGAACCATGAGTATATAGGGCCGATAAAGCAAACTGTAAACTGCCTAATCTAATCAAAAGCTACCTGCTGTTGTTTCCAAAACCTAACGTCAGAGGGAGATTTCACAGTGATACACAGTAAGATTGTTCAAAGCCTAAAAGGCCACACAGCAGTAATGAGATCTGAGAGCCAAAACAATACATCAGATCTCTGCCATAAGACATCTTTGACTTAAAGGATGGGGAATCTTTGGATTTTTGGGGTTTTCCATGGAAAATTTTGTCTCAACCTTAATTTTTAAATCAGTTATTTATTCAAGTATATAATATTATTAATTATACTATATCAAAATGTCAAAATTATTCTTTTAAATGTACATAATTCAAAATCGCATAGGGGCTTAACCTCAGTGATTAATTTAGTCAGGCAAAATGTTTGTTTTTTATAATATTACCGGTCTACTCGGGTAAATTCACAAAACAAATAACACCGTAGGGTTTTAACTAGACAGGTAAATTATCAGCTCCCATTAGATTTCTCTACTTGAAACCACTTTGGCTCAACAGCTGTTGTTTTAAACGCGCTGTATAAATAACGATGACTTGGCTTGACTCAAATATGTTTCCTTCTGGCGCGCAGCTTGGTCAGGCTCACTATTTCAAAATAACATACTGCAGAGTATGGGTATTAAATGCCCTAGTTGCTCGCTTTTATTGAATGCATTTTTTAAATGTAGGATATGAAGTCTTGGAATCACAGAATCGTCTGTTTGTGTGTATCTGCCAGCTTGTAATGATGGTAGAAGTCTTGAGGCGAGGAGTCCTTTTGGCTGTTTCTGTGTTTCATGTCAGAACCCAAGTAGGGCAACAGCATGACGGGCTGGCATTGACATAAAACAATCCAGTCATTGGAGATCCCCGCTGTCCAGATCAGATGCTGCTGAAGGTTGACAACAAAGATTTACATGATGACAGGGTTTTTCCTCGCAGTGGTGGTTTCCCTCCTTCATCTCTTAACGCTCTTCCTCAGCCAAGGAACGGCTCCGTCAGCTCACAACTACGATCTGATATAATACGCTGTTGTTTCATGTTTGTCAGTAATGTTGGCAACAGGCTCCCTCACATGGCCGTATCCCCTCGCTGGGCTAATGGTTTATTTATCTGACTCCAGTCTCCAACCATCTGTTACAGGGACCTTGTACCCTCAGTCCCATATGATCCTTCAATTAGCAGCTCAGCGCCTCATTACTGAGGACAACGGCAGTGCAGACTCTGATACACTGTTGTCAGCTCACCTTTCGTCAAACGTATCTTTAGTTTCTAATGGTAAATGGACTGCACTTATATAGCACTTTTCTACCTTAGCGGCACTCAAAGCGCTTTACAGTGATTTCCTCATTCACCCATTCACACACACATTCATACACCAATGGTAACAGAGCTGCCATGCCATTGCCTGCCATTGGGAGCAACTTTGGGTTCAGTGTCTTGCCTAAGGACACTTCAGCTGTCGAGGGGCGGGAGATCGAACCGCCAACCTTGCAATTAGAGGACAACCCGCTCTACCACCTGAGCCACAGCCGCCTAATAGGGCGACAAGTAGGGCAACACTGACATGCATTTGTTGTTGTTTATACTCAACTTCTTTTTCAGTTTCAGCACTTTTGAATTTGGGACTTTTTATTAGAGTTCGGTTTATTATTTTTGTACCAACAACCGTCCAAGTGGCTATGTGCAATGTGTAAATGGGGTTAGTCGTAATGATAACTCCACAAAGACCTGTAGTTCACCTCAACTGTACGGTACATTTGGTTGCATATGGTGTTTCGGTTTTACAGATTAATGATTTTTGAGGATGACCCCATTTTCAAACAGAAGTCGTCAGCCATTTCTAGCAAACCAGCTCTGATGAAAGGACGCCGCGGTGCCTGCTCAAGTAGCAGACAGACGAAACTGGCAATAAGATGGCGAACATAGTGGAGCATTCGACAGCTAAAATGTTCAATATTCATTACAGAAGTTGACATAAACTTTTATACGTAGTGTTCAGAAACACAACTCCAAATAAATGCTAATTTTTCATGGTGCCAGTGCATTGTTTACCTGGAGAAGAGATAGGAGGCGAGATGGGAGAAGCTGTGTGGTTTTTTTGGGGCAATGTTCTGCTGGGAAACCTTGGGTCCAGGCATTCTTACAAAACACCCCATAACGACAATGACGTTTACTGATGGCTGAGGGCTCTTTTTGCAGGATGATGTTTCCTTCTACAGTCTATAAATTCTTTCAGGAGTGGTTTGAGCAGGTGTTCATGGTGTTGACTCAGCCTCCAAATTCCCTAGATCTCAATCTGACTGAGCATCAGTGGGAAAACAAGTATGATCTAGCCAAGCCCCACCTTGTACCTTCCATGACTTAAAGGATCTACTACTAATGTCTTGATGCCTCAGGACACCTCCGGAGGTCTTGTGGAGTCCACACCTCAACAGATCGGAGCTGAGGGAACCTACACAATATTGGGGAGGTGGTTTGTTTTTGTGGCTGATCAGAATAGGCACAAATTTACTACTACACTTTAATAAAGTTGGAGGAATGATGCCAAACAGCCGAGCAAAGCAATGGATGAGCTCAAAGCAACAGAGGACATAACATCCTTACATTTACAAATTTAGTAAATCTGATGAACATCCAACTCCACAAGCCCATTGGCACTACACTTCCCCTGATGCAGATTAATAGTATCTTCTGTCCGTTCCTCCCTTGCAGGTTTTTGAAGCTTGTAATTACCAAAGTTTGGCAAAACTGAGCCATCGATGTGACAAAAATTAGAGGTTGACTACTTGTAGTAAATTTGCTTTGACATGTGAAACCTCTTAAGGGTTTTTTTCTATATTATTTTAAGATCATTGACTGTCATAATGAATGAAAATAAGTGCTGGCCAGCCATAACCGACCACACTCCATCTATTAAAAATCTTTAATTACCTCTCAAGACCATACATTATATCACTGAGACATTTACTGTCATTGCCAATTCCTGACTTGCTGAGAACTGAGCTTGTTTCATGCAAAAGGACTGTAATTCCTTTATGAATGCTGAGCTACTGCCTTCAATTTGTATTGTTTGTCAGGCTCAATAGTTCATGAATTTATCTCTTGTCTGTGTGTTCGAGTCTGCATCACTTAAAGGGTATGATTATGATAATGAGAGCAGCCAGGGGTACAAACTCAGCCTCTTCCTCTACGTCTGCTAGAGTATAATTGATTACTTCTCCTTAAGCCTGACCGAACCCAAGCTTTGTGATTTATGTCTGGGTACAAGTCTCTGTACACACTCTTTTAATAGGAGATAACAATATGGCATGCAAGGCAAACTAAAAGCTCCAGCAATCAATCCTGCGACGCCCCACCACCGCCATCACAAGACTGCCGGGAGATTAGTCGATCACACACTTGCTTTTGCTACCCCCGTGTATTTTTATTATCTTTGGGATGAAAGTGTTCCTCTTCCCAACAGTCTGACAGTCCTTTGTTTGGGCTGGAGAGCGGGACTCATCAGTTTAAATGTCAGCGCTCGAGAACAGGCCGACATTCCAGTGTTACTCGTCCATTAACTGATAAAGAGGCGACTCCTCTGCTGCCTGCTGATTTGGATGCCGTCTCACCGCGGAGACTGAGAAGCACTAAAAAGGCTCACACATGCTCGATAAGCCTCGACATCATACCTTCCCTTTACAAGTAGACTGTCACCGTCACATTTATTTTGACACATGGCAGCGAAACTCTCAGGAAAACCATTTGTGATACATCTCAGTATAAACCAACGTGTGCTGCCTGACTATGCCATGACCTAAATTAATGTTGTTGGGTTTTTTTTCCTATCTGCGGTTGCGATAAACCTCTGAGGCACCACATTACTCCAGCAAGTTCAGCAGGTGCCGAGACCGTGTTTGCACGTCTCCCATCTCGGATTAAAGAGAACAAGCTGCTGGATAAACAGAAAGAAACGCTGAACCACATGTTTATGTTTTCCATCGTGTCTGAACATCAGTCAAAAGAGGGGAGATGTGTGGAGTCGTGCCCTCGGAGCTGGGATTTTTCTCAATAAGAGTTAAAGCTGAACCCGAAAAAATAATGCTGATATAAAGCTGGAGAATGGCAACAATGCAAAATACATAGCTTCTCTCTAGAGGCGATACATTTTCAGATCGCTATTTGGAATCATGCACATCAATAGCTTTGTTTTGTTTTTTCCTTATAAGTTAGAAAGCAGATATCTGTATTCAGAACAGTCACTCTGAGCTCGACTTGCATGACTGATCAAGGCTGTTAAATTCAGGGTATTAAGATTAATGTGTTGCTGGATGATAAGAGCAGTGGATAGTAAGGATGTCACTTTTCACATCAAAAGAAGACATTTCACAGTTTATTGTGATTAACAATACAACTAAAATATTATGTGCCGCACAATGTCCCTGAGGGATGTGACCTATTTTCATAAATCAAACATTACCTCAAACCGCTCCCAGAAGACCAAAAACCGCTGTAAAGAAAACAACTTATTTATTCTTTCTGGGTTTGTTTTCTTCTTAAAAAGAGTTTTCTGTAAACTGTAGAAATGTAAATTATTCTTGTCTGCATCTTCAGCGACTTCATCTTTCCTGTCAGACTCTGCAACAATTAAATACGAGCGTCTCATCAGCTGAG